CCACTGTAATGATTATAAAGAACCATTTACACTACATTTTGAAGTTACGACAAGTTTGAAACAAATGTTAGATATATTAATGATGATAAAGGAAATCTCACCATGACTAGTGATGTAGTCAAATGATTCGAGGGCTTCAGACGGGGATCGATATATATTAGGTGACAATATATGCACCAAGTGATTGTCCACCCAACTGCCACATAGGAAATTGAATTATGAAAAAAACAAAAATGACGTAACTAGAGTTGAGCCGAATAATCATCATAAACAAAATAACTGAACAATTAATGGATTAAGGGTTGGATTTCGGACAGCACAGCAAGACACAATTTAAGAGCGGGTACCAGAAAGCATCATCTTTCGGACACCAAAATTAATAATGATTGTTAATTTTAATTACAAATGTGTTCCTATAGTTCATCAGAATCATCACTGCTGTGATCCGCACAACAGATTATTAACAAATAGCATCAGGCGAATCAGAAATTAGGATAAGATTCTATAAAAATGAGAAGACATCACAAACATACCCACGCCACTTCTTCTCTTCACTATCTTCCCCAACAGAATCAGTAGGCATGTCTGGATGGATCTTTTTGGTCAAATTATCTATTATATCTACATAGAAAAAAAAAATGATTCAATGTTGACAATTCTCCTGACATAGTGCTAATAATGGACTAGATTAAAATGGCTCAATTAAATTCTAGTGCTTCTTCTATTAGTGAAGTTTCTAGAAAAAAAAAAAAAAATCAAACGGCGCAATGCACCTCGGGTCGCTACGGAGACAGCCTCCTTGTATAATTACAAGGGTAAGGTCTGCGTACAACTGACCCCCCAGACCCCAACCTGTTGGGAATATACTGGGTATGTTGTTGTTGTTGTTGTTGTAATAAATTTAGCACAAATCTCTTTTGTTCACTTATCAATCAGACTTACACAGGGCCAAAAGCGGATATAGATAATTCCAAGAGCCAAAGATGTCAAAACATTCTGAATAAATATTCAACTTTCGGGACAAGGTATCTCTGACTACCTTTTACCGGGTACTATAAAGTAGAAATATTTGACATTCTTTTATTTTATGTAATCATATATATACCTGATGAGTTAACCATCTGCTCGCCATCCACCATCAGTATAGGCACTTTCTTGTAATCAGACCACTTTATTTCCTTTTTGCTGATAGGGTTCACCTCCACAATTTTGTACGGGATATCATAGTAGTCCAGGAAAGCTACAAAGGATACAGTGATAGTTATACAATGTAGTTATGCAATGTTATAAATGTTTTAATCGTGATCAGCAGTACGAAAATTTCAGGCAATGACAATTAACAACACAGAGTTATTTGCCTTTCGAATCCCAATTACTGAAGAACTGAATTGTCAGGCAAGCATTTCAGTTTTGTATGTCTCCATTTCATTGATCCTTCCACATTAATATTAGCTTAATCTTCAAAGGACCAAACCATATGATAAACAAATGTCACGATAAAAATTCAACACAGATAAACTACTTATAATCAATACAGCAGCATTCTAATATTATGGTAAACAAATAACGCACTTGACCACTTTCAATGTATCATAAATATGTTATCTGAATTCCACACACAACGAATAATGTCTGCTTATAATTACAGCACAAAAGAGGTGCCTTTTCCCCTTCCAAACCACAATTCAGATAAATTGGCTTTATAGAACAGAAAGAACTCAAAATCACAAACGAGAATGAATACCTTTGACCTTGTTACAGAAAGGGCAAGCTTCGTACTGATACAGCACGACGTCCTTCGGTCGGAATTTCAACTGCACGGGCTCCTTCGCGTGGACCTCCTCCGCCACCGTGGTAGCGGCTGCCGAGAACAACATCGTTCCGGCAAAAGTGCGCGTGGCGGCGCGAGCCGACTGATCGCCGGAGATCTTGTTGTTCGAGAACCAGTGAGATCTAGCCGAGGAGTCGCTGCTGCTGCCCGTGCTGAAAAGAGTCGCCTGGAAGAGGCGGTCGTGGTGCCGGCTGGATTGGTTCCCGGCAGAGACGCCCCCCACGGCGCGGCGAACGGCTGCAAGCCCGCTAATCCTCTTCATTTCCGGAAGGATCTAAGGGATTTCGTGAGAGATGGTTTGGAAAGTCTGGTGATGCCTTTTGTGGTTTTAGGCGAGGGTTTTACGAGCTGTGCACAGTCCACGTGAAAGGAAACAAAACAGCTGTGTGCGCCGGCGCGGAGCTGAGCTGTGATCATTAGTCGGCTAGAGCCGATGTCAAAAAATCTGTCCAAGTCCAAGCCCGCCAATATGTGGGCTCAGAATCTATAAAGTCCACTTATGTACTAACCTATGTTGGGCTTATAAAAGAAATAGCCCACAAATATGCTATATGCGAAAGTAAAACTTGAAGGCAATGGGTGTTACGTCACTTTATATCATACGAACGGGATTTTCACGGCAATGCCTCTAAACGGTCCTCGTATTTTATCTTCAGACCTGTAATACGTCGGGAGGGTTTTCCAACAAAAAAAATTATTGTCGCTCAAGTTAAAACTTGCTCAAAACTGTGTACATGAATTGTATAAGTAAAAGGCGTAGAATATGATCATGGATGAAAAAGAACATGTCGATCTTATATAGGGCAAATGTATTGGTGCCTAACGGAGTCATTGTTATGGAATAGATCCAACCAAATCTTAATTCTCTAACTATGATGAAATTTAACTTTGTAAAAAAATAGTGGACGAGGATAACTTCTCTAAATATTCCAACCAACGCCAATTGCAACTGATGAGCTAAACAATGCACATAATATGCATACGGGCATTCGTTAGCAATTAATACTTGTAACTCGTTGAATTCACCATCCAAATTACTCGCCCCATCATATCCCAGACCCCGAATATTTTGAATGTCAAGATTGTGACGAGAAATGTAGAAAATATTGCATCTTTAAGAGTTATCGTCTTCGTATCAGACACATGTACAAGATCAAAGAAGCGCTCCGATCAAAACCACAAATATCAACAAACCTTAAGACGATATCCACTTACTCTCTTTTCAATTGATCTCTGGCCTCATCAACAATAATGCAAAATTTTGCGTCCCCAATTTCTTCACAAATCACTTTCTTGATCCTCATTGAGATAACAAGTAAAATGTCCTTTTGGACAGACGAGGATGTATAAAAGGCATTTTGAGGTACTTTGTCTAAAACGACATTTGCAATATTTTCATTAAGCTTAGACATTGCACTGAAAAATTCAAGAAAATTTCCACGGTTAAGAGACTCTTTACTTTCATCATCTATATCTATATATATATATAAAGAGGAGCAGCATAACATTTAATTATATTATCATGCATTAAATTTTATTATCCCTCCAAAATTTTAACATTCAATTTCATTTTTAAGTTACAAAATAACTTGCTTGAATGCCATAAATTATGAGCATAAACCAATCAAGAGAGTTACAAAATTGTACTCAAATTTTAAGTCACACCCACTCATGAAAATGACCAGATGTATTAGCAATTAATATAAAGAAAATAGTTGTAACGGCTCTTTCATAACAATTACTTGATCAAAATCAATTTTGAGAATTATATTCTTAATTCATATTTTTTTCATAAATTAAATTATGATTTTTTTTATTGTTATCTTTTTAAAGTATTTTTCTCTGTGCAAATGGACATGTTGATTACTAGTATATATAATTGCTGGCAAGCTTCAATAAATTTTATTCAGCTATCAATTAAAAAAAAAATAGAACTTCATTAAATAAAAATCTTGATGATAATAAATTTTATTCAGTTAGCAATTAATAAAAATATAAATTCATTTAATAAAAATCTTTATGACCAACATTCAAATGACAGTTACACAAATAAAATCTTATTATTATTAATTTTTTATTATACAGTTTTACAAGATTTTAAAT